CCATGCTTGACTCGTGTGTGTGTCTGGTCATTCCAATTCATCGCAATGGATAAGTTGGTAATTTTCCCAACCCTCAATGGTCAAACTTTCCTTTCTCACTCGTGGGATGCACACTCCCCCAAACTTGATATTTTCACTCTAACCCAAGGTATCAAAAACTTAAGGTTGCCCTCAAATCACTCAATCTTTCCCTCTCAAATTTGGTTGGTTTGAACCGAAAAAATAGACCATCTAGTCATGTATTAATTCACCAAAAATTTTGAGTGCTTAGACCACAACTCATGTTAGGAAAATTACTCACAATCCATCAATTCTTCCACAAAATCACCCCTAGATGCTTATAGCATCCCTTTTATTTTTCTTCATTTTTCCAATGTAGGTAATTCTCGCTCTGGTCCCTAAGGGTAGCCTTCTTCATTCGTAGATCGTCTCCTACACATTAGTGATGCATAGGGCTAGATTACTCAATCCTGACTCACACTCCTTACGGTAGGCAACTTTTTCCTACAGATTTTTTTTTTTGAAATATAAAACAACATCTAACTTTCATTTGAAGTCTAAGAACATTCCACAAAATCAATCACTGAGTCAGGAATTAATACAATTCTAAATAATTTCTTTCACCGGTTCAACCACTCCCAAACTTATCCTTTCATTGGTTTAGTAATTGAAGAATTTCTAATAGCATGGTCATTTAAGTTCATTAACAACCTACAAGTGGAACCAACAAGTGCATGTGATGAATCTCATGACCCAAGTGCTCAATAAAGAGTCAATCATGGAATAAGTGGATGAAAATAAACAGCACTTAGCATTCATGTTCCCAATTCATAAATCAATGCAATGTAATACTCAAAATGCAATTGGCAAAACTATCAAACAACACAAAGAAGCATAAAAATAAGTGTTTAACTTGAATTTTTAAGTTTTTAGTGAGAACAAAATTAGCACAAACCACAAAATTCCACAAAAAATTTAGCACATACCACCTCACCCCCAAACTTAAATTGCACATTGTCCTTAACGTAAAAGCAAAAAGAAATAGAAAGTGCAAGAGGTTCAAATACTCCCCTAGTGGTGTTGACGGTGATGATGGTTGGGGACCACTGACGACAAAAATTCACAAAAACAAAAATAAGTGTCCTCTTTCATGCTTCTTCAATTGGATCCTCCAATCGCATTTTCTCCATGTTTTGTGGTACGAAGGGTTCAAAATATAGCTTTAATCAATGCCTATTCACCTTAAACTCTTTCTCAATCCAAAGGTTTTTTATTTATACTACACCATGAGGAAAGACATTAGTAACAACAAAAGGGTCAATCCATCGAGAATGTAATTTACCTGGAAATAACTTGAGGCGCAAATGGAAAAAAAGAACTTTTTGTCCAACAACAAAAGCCTCTCTTGAAATCATTTTATCATGGTACGCCTTAGTTTTTTCCTTGTAAATTCTTGAACTTTCATAGGCGTCATTTCGAATTCCCTCAAGTTCATTGAGTTGAAGCTTTCTTTGATCACCCGCAGCATCTAGGTTCATGTTGCATTGCTTCACTGCCCAAAATGACTTGTGTTCGAGTTTAACCGGGAGATGAAAAGGCTTACCATAAACTAACCGATAAGGGGACATGCCAATCGGTGTTTTGTATGCCGTCCTATAAGCCCAAAGTGCATCATTGAGGTAGAGAATCTAATCCTTTCTACTGGGATTCATAGTTTTTTCGAGGATGGATTTGACCTCTTGGTTAGACACTCCGACTTGCCCACTAGTTTGCGGATGGTAAGGTGGGCGATGTTGTATCTTTTCAATAGAGCCCAAAAGGAACGGTTGCAAAAATGTAGTCCTCCATCGTTAATAATAGCTCTTGGTGTTCCAAACCTTGCAAAAATGTTGGATTTAACAAAATCTACAACCACTTTAGAATCATTAGTTCGAGTGGCCCTTTTTTCCACCCATTTTAACACATAATCAAAGGCAAAAATGATGTAAAGGTTACCATAAGATAAAGGGAAAGGTCCCATGAAGCCAATACCCCAAACATCAAAAATTTCAACAAAAAAGTATAGGTGTTTGTGACATTTGATTTCGGGTTCCCAATGTACCTACCCTTTGACATCGATCACAAGATTTGCAAAAGAGAAATGCATCTTTGAATAAGGTGGGCCAATAGAATCCACTTTCAAGCACCTTGAGAGTAGTCATTTTTGCTCCAAAATGTCCACCACATGCATAGGAGTGACAAAAGGTAAGTATTGACTGAAATTCATTTTCATGCACGCACCTTCTTATCAATTGATCCGGACAATGTTTCCACAAGTACGGCTAATCCCACGCAAAATACTTGGCCATAGCCTTGAGTTTTTACCTTTGAGCGGTGGTCAAGTCATTTGGAATTTTCTTAGTGACTAAATAGTTCACTATATCCGCAAACCAAGGAGATGTATCCATAACGAGAAGCAATTGTTCATTGGGGAAAATGGGAGAGTTTCTCTCTCATGGGTAAGGCGACTCAAGTGGTCGGCCACAGAATTTTCACTCTCCTTTTTATCTTTAATCTCAAGGTCAAACTCTTGTAAGAGGAGTATCTATCTAATGAGCCTTGGTTTTGCCTCTTTCTTGGCAAGCAAGTACCTAAGAGCTGCATAATCAGAAAAGACAGTTACTTTAGTGCCAATAAGATATGAACGAAATTTCTCTAAGGGAGAAATAATTGCTAAAAGCTCTTTTATAGTTGTAGAATAATTGAGTTGGGCATCATTCAAAGTTCTTGATGCATAATATATAACATGAGGTATCTTTCCAACTCATTGCCCTAAAATGGCTCCCAATGCAAAGTTACTTGCATCACACATCAACTCGAATGGCCTGTCCCAATCTGGTGGTTGAATGATGGGTGCCGAAGTCAAAAGTTCCTTCAAGCTTTCGAATGCCTTTTTACAATCTTCATCAAAGTGAAATGGCACCTCCTTTTGCAACAGCCTGCATAGTGTTCTTGCACGTTTGGAAAAATCATTGATAAACCTTCGATAAAATCCTGCATGTCCAAGAAAAGAACGAATCTCCCTCACGCTTGTTGGAGGAAGTAAAGAACGAATTAGATCAATTTTAGATTTATCAATTTCTATTGCCTTGGAAGAAATGACATGGCCTAACACTATGCCTCGATCAACCATAAAATGGCATTTTTCCCAATTAAGTACTAAGTTAGCATCCATACTCTCTTAAGCATAAGTGTGAGATTTTCCAGGCAACTATCAAAGGTATTACCATAAACACTTAAATCATCCATAAAGACCTCAATGATGCTTTCAATATAATCGGAGAATATACTTATCATTCATCTTTGAAAGGTTGCGGGAGCATTGCAAAGGCCGAAGGGCATGCGCCGGTAAGCAAAGGTGCCAAACGGGCAAGTGAATGTTGTTTTCTCTTGGTCTTTCGGAGCAATTACAATTTGGTTATAACCTGAATAACCATCAAGAAAAAAATAATGAGAATGACCTGCTAACCTTTCCAACATTTGAACAATAAAGGGTAAAGGAAAGTGATCTTTTCGAGTTGCACAATTAAGTTTTCTATAATCAATACAAACTCTCCAACCCGTTTGGACCTAAGTTGGTACAAGCTCATTCTCTTCATTTGTCACCACTGTGATTCCGAATTTTTTTGGAACAACTTAGATCGGGCTTACCCACTTGCTATTGGAGATGGGAAAGATGACACCAACGTCTAGCAATTTCAAAATTTCTTTCTTCACCACCCCCATCATGGGAGGATTCAAACAATGTTGTGTTTCTCTTGATGGCTTTGCTCCATCTTCGAGCAATATCTGGTGCATGCACATAGAAGGGCTTATCCCCTTGATATCGGCTACTGTCCAACCAATAGCTATTTTGTGTTCCTTGAACACATGGATATGCCTATCTTCTTGAAGTGTTGTGAGATTCTTTGCAATGATCACCGATAGTGTTTCTCCCTCTCCGAAATATACATACTTCAAATACTCGGAAAGAGGTTTGAGTTCCAAAGTGGAGGCCTGCATCATCGAAGGTAAAAGTTTCTCTTTAGATATCGAAAGAGTAATATAGGAGAGATTATAACTTGGTGGAATATTTGGTAGTGACTCAAGTGATGCCACGGTTTCAACAACATCCTTTCACACTTATAAATTCTTGCTCAACCCGGTGAGATTTTTAGCATCAATGCTTTTAATCGAAGTGGTAACCAATGCATCTTCATTTGATAATTCAAAAACTTTTTGTACTAATGAATCTATTATATCAATTGAAAAACAAGCATGAACATCACTAAGATACCTCATTGCTTCAAAGATGTTGAAGCGAATAATCTCATCATCAAACTCCATTGTCAATGTACCATCATGCACATCTATCTTTGTACCGCAGTCCTCATAAATGGTCTTCCCAAGAGCAACGATGGCGATAAAGTTGTTGGTTCATCTTGCATGTCAAGAACGTAGAAATCTGCTGGAAAAATCAATTGATTTACCTACACCAAAACATCCTCCAACACACCCTTTGGAAATGCATTAGATCTATCAGCAAGTTGAATAATAACACCGGTTTCTTTAAGTGATCCTAGATTTAAGGAACCATAAATAGAATATGTCATGACATTAATAGATGCTCCTAAATCTAGCATTTTCTTTTCAAACCTAGTGTTACCAATAATGCAAGGGATGGTAAAACTTCCAGGGTCCTTACATTTTGGTGGAAGTTTTTTTTGCAAGATTGCTGAGACATTTTCTCCTGCACTTACCACTTCATTACCTTTCAATCTATGCTTGTTAGTACACAAATCCTTGAGGAACTTTGCATAACGAGGCACTTGATAAATTGCATCCAAAAGTGGTATGTTTACTTGAACCTTGTGAAAAGTCTCAAATATTTCTTTCTCATGTTCATCCTTTTTAGACTTTGCAAACCTGCCAGGAAATGGAAGGGGGGGGGGGAACATAAGTAGGAATAGAACTTTTAGATTCTATCTTAGATCCCGCAGTGGAGTCGTAGCTTCATCTTTTTCACATGCTAAATTCTTCACTTGCATTGACTCCTCAATTTGATCTTTCATTTTCTTTGATGCCTCTTCCAGAATTTTTCCACTTCTTAGTGTCAAAGCACTAGCATTTTCTCTCAAGTTGATTGCTTGAGAAGGAAGTTTTCCCAATCCTGAGCCTCCAATTTACCCACCGTGTTGGTCAATTGGCTCACTTGTGTCTCCAAATTCTTGATTGAGGTCTTTGTCTCTTATTGAAATTGTATAGTACTAGAAGGCAAGGACTTAACCATATCCTCAAGAGATATCTCTGAACTTTGAGGCGGAGTTTGTTGATGAGGTTGAGGGTGTTGTGGTTGCCTTTGTTGATTGAACCCTAGGGGATGATTAAATTGTGATTGTGGAGTTATGAAATGATTTCCTCCATAACTGAGATTAGGATGATCTCTAAATCCAGGATTGTATGTGTTAGCATATAGATCATATCTCCGTCTCTGTTGCATTGGAAACCCCCTAATGGCATTCGCTTGCTCTGACGCTCCTTTTTGTAGTGTCGGGCATTCCTCAGTAGGATGTCCCACAATAGAACAAATCCCGCACACTTTTGCTTGTTGCATTGTCCCAAGTGCCATTTGCTGCACAAGCGATGTAAGACCAGCTAATTGTCGTTCAATTTGAGAGGTTGCTCCTAGCTCACTTGCTTGTTTAACTGGTGCCACTTCTCTACTACCAAATTGTTGTGAGTTGGCGGCCATGTTAGCTATCAAATCCCTAGCAACCGTCGGTGTTTTATCCATTAAAGCTCCTCCACTAGCCGCATCAATCATACTTCTTTTCATCGAGAGCAATCCTTCATAGAAGTATTGTAGAAGTAATTGCTCACTGATTTGGTGGTTTGGGCAACTAGCAAATAGCCTTTTGAATCTCTCCCAATATTCATAGAGATTTTTCCCTTGAGATTACCGAATGCTACAGATTTCTTTTCTGATGTTTGTAGCCTTTGAAACTGGGAAATACCTCTCCAAGAAGAGCTTTTGCATTTCATTCCACATGGTAATAAAATCGGTCAGCAAATAATAGAGTCATTCCTTAGCAGTGTCTGCAAGAGAAAAAGAGAATGCCCGCAATTTCACTTGCTCTTCCGGTATACCCACAGGTTTCATACTTGAGCAAACCACATGAAACTCCTTCAAATGCTTATTTGGATCCTCTCTGGCGAATCCATGAAATGAGGGAAGTAGATGAATCATCCCAGACTTAAGTTATCATCTTGGACTTAAGTTCAAATCCCACCTCCACTTGAGGATATTGAATGCATAGAGGTCGTTGAACAAAAGTTGGAGCTGCAAGTTCCTTTAAGGTCCGATTTGCATCCGCCATTTCGGGCTCTATGTATTCGGAGTCACTTGAGGATTCAATGCTCAATCGCCTTAGATGTCTAGTCGAAGAAATGTTTTCTCCACTTTTCGATGTGTCAGCCTCTTTTCTTGATCTTAGGTTGTAGTGTGTTATAAGATTTTTGCTCATTCACAACCTAAATGACAAAGCAAAAAAAAAAACAAAAAAAACAAAAAATAGAAAAACTACAAAAAGAAAAATATTGCAATTAACAAATTGATAAAACAATTCCAGGCGACACGGTGCCAAAATTGATACGTTGCATATCACATTCCGATTAATTTTCCTTACTTAACTTAAATGTGTCGTTTTAAATAGTAATATGGCAAGTAAGGGTCATTTCCCGCAGAGGATTGATTCAATTATGTCAAGTGCACACTAAAAAGTAAAATTAATAATAATAGACGAAATAGATTAAATGGTTGAACTAAGGAAAGCGTAAATTTAAACTAGAAAAGACTTGAAATCTGAAATAAACAAAGTGGTTCTTGATTGAATGCGAGAAAATGTGATTGGGGGATGTTTCGTCGCCACGAGAATGATTTTCATGTCAATTACAACAATAGATTTTTGTTCTCAAGATTAACAACAATTCGAGAATAATTACAAGCTCACTTACCACAATCTCTTCTTACATGTTAGTCAAATAAAACAAACTCTTTACTCAACCCTATTCATTAAACAACCTAGAACAAGCTCTGTAGATTTAATTTAACAAACGTATTGCGACAAAAGAGATAAATTGAATTAAGGGTAAACTTGCAAGCTCTGTTTACAAACTTAAGTGTTAATACACATACATTCAATTGAAAATTCTTCATAATCTATCGAAATGTAATTGTTACTAGGTTTTAGAATCAATAGCTATTACGTACTACTAATTCCATAATAGCATTATCGAAACAACTTAACTATTTAGTTGTACACCTAAACAATCAAGAAGAACAAAATAAATATTTAACACAATGGATTAAATACATTAATCAAGAGAATTATAAAGCACAAATTAATTGAAAATCATAACTCGGGTTTGAAATAATCCCCAATCACAAAATATAACTAGTTACCCATGAAATATCCACAAATAACTAACAATTTCTTGCAAAACATTCATGGAAAAAGTGAAAAGAAAAACTTATTGATAAAGAGAGAAATGGTTGAAAATCCTTCAATATCAATGGGTCATCTTCTCCAAACTAATGCACCATCTCCATATTCCAATCTTCCCCAAAATATCTTAGAAAATAAAGGTGAAAGGAAAAAGGAAAAAGAAAGAAGACAAGAAGAAGAAGAAGAAGAACCAGCCGCCCCTCAAGTTGAAGAAAAAAAAAATCTTGTGTTTGGTTCAATGTTTTAACCTAAAACCTAAAGGAAATTGCAGCATTGGTCCCTATAACTTTGAAAACAATTAAAAACGGCTCGGGTAGGGCCCAGGCGTCGGAACAGTGGCGCCTGGGAGCCACAGTTTCTGTTTCTACTCGGGCTGGGCATCGCGGCGCCGAGCTTGCTGAAATTTATTATTATTTTTTTGAAATCTTCTTTCAACGGTGTCTTTGGTCGTCTTCTTCATTTGCCTTCATCTTTAGCTCGTTTCTTGCATAAATTCCTTCAATTCGTCGTTTAATCTCGAGTTTTTGCCTACAAAATAAAAATAAGAAAATTAAGTAATAAATCGCTAATAAATTCGCAAATATCTAAGTTTAATTGTCAAAATAAGCGCAATAAACCTGCATTTATCCATTATTATTATTTTTTTTAGAATTTGAAACCATTTTCATCATAATATTTGAATTTTACAACTAATCACGTAATGAATTTGTCTGTTATTAAATAAAATTAAATCTAAATTTTAACAACAAAATATAAATAAGGGGTTGTTTGAGCCCAAATTTTCTCAAAAAATGCATTTTAAAATAGTGTTATGATCGAGAACGCGTGGTTAAAAAATAAGTAAAAGTTTTGGATTTATGTGTAATATTTATTTTATTGAAAAATGTGTGGTTGAAATAGTTTCAAATCACTGTTAAAAAATATATTTTATTAAAAAAATTGGGCTCAAACAAGGGCTAAATCCAAATTTATTGTGAGCCATAGAAGACGTTTTTCAGAGTTTTGTGACAAGAACTTGACCATTCTTGCTAAGCTTTGAGGTGGTCGAATTTTGTCTATTGAACTTTGAGATAATTGAATTTTGGTCACTATCGAGTCTTTAAATAGCGATTTTTTTTTTTTGGAGAATGTGTGATTGAAAAAGTTAGAAAAAATTTTGAATTTACATTTAAAATATTTTATAGTATAGATGTATGGTTAAATACAAATTTATAGTGACCAATAGAAGACTTTTTTCAAAGTTTGATCTCACTGTACATAAATTAACATCGATATGTTGTTTTAAATGAGAAACACAGACTAATGTTATTTTGTAATTAATAGATTACTCATTAATTAATCATATGATCTATAGCTCGTTCCAGGAATATATTCGATTTAGACGGTTTTTAATATATTTTTTAACCAAACCATTTATAAGAATTTGACATATCTCAAACTTAAATCGAACCATTCCATAACCCAAAACAAGCCGTTATAAAATCATTATTATATTATTTTAAGTTCTTAAAGAGTAGCTCAAGAATTTTTAAATACATTAATTACAAGTCAAGGAAATAAAGCAATTATATATCAATGCCAAACAAAATGTTTACGAAGTGTTCTATTTAGTACAGGGCTACACTACCATGAAATATATAATCACTTTCTACCAATATAAAGTTAAGAATAATGTTATTTACCATTGATTAGCACTCATTAGTGTGGAAGTTGGATCATTATACTATTTTAAAGCTAAATATCAACAAAGTCTCCATAAATGTCCTGTTTATATTTTAAAGCCAAATCCCTACTAAATAATGTTGAATTTAACAATAATCATGTTAGGAAACAAGAATCGCATAATAATAAAAATTCGTCACAACACAGCTTTACGTAATAATTTCACAATCAAATGGGAAGCCCACATTAGAATTATTCGAACAAATAAAAGTTCGTCATAATACGGCTTTACGTTCTTTAACAAGATTTTAGCATGAATTAATGATCAAAATGATGGTTTCATCAAATTGAGGCTACTAGTAAGTAACTTGCTAATTAGGCCATAATTGCTATATATAGATAATTAGATTAATATTTTAATACTTTATTACCTTAATTGGAGGTTAACGTTGACCTCGATATTTGGACCCTCCACGTGGCCAACGGGTAGCTACTCCACGTAATCCTCCTTGTGCACAACAAAGCACGGTCATAAGCACACGACCGGATCAGCGGTGGTGGCGGCGGCCGCATACACTTCGACTGTCAAGTCAGCATTGAGTGGTTGGAACACTGCTCTAGTTGTGTAAGAGAGTGGGGAGGAGAATATATGTTTCATAGTATGGAGAGCTAAATTATGAGAGCTTTCATTACCTTTGTCTCTTGCTAAACCTTGGATATTTATAGGTGTAGAGTACCGTTGGATGTGGGACACGTGTATGCATCTGACGGTGTAAGGCGTCTGCTCATAGACGTCACTTAGCCGCGTCCAGCGTGGGTGGGCAATTAGTTCTTCTGAGTTGAGTTGACATAAAGTCGATGTGTCATGTCAACTAGATCTATGGAGACGTCACGTCAAGATCCTGACAAATATCTTTCTAACAGTGACGATGGAGGGATCTATTAAGGGAGTGCATCGGGTCCTTCAAAGCTCCGTCATCGAATGACACTTTGGTTGCTTCATTGGATCGCGCGTCATGTTGAGGTCGTTAGGAATTGGCATCGCTCCGGAACCACTCCGGGAGGATGTGTGGAGTTTCAGAGAGTGATGTGACTTTGTGTCGAAGTGGTTTTAGTGCCGAAGTGGAAGTGGCTTGGTTAGGTGCGTAACAGTGGTCACCCCAAGTTCAGGCTTGAATATTCATATCATGGATGGACTTGTTTTCTCGACTGTGTATGCCGGCCTTGGTGTAAGTACTGTGAATTCTAATGAGGTACTGGCGTAAAAGGGTGAAGTGAGCAGATGTGCCGAACACTTATTGGTTGAGGCAAGTGATAACTGAGGTGACGTGGGTGGGACATCCTCTAGGTCGATCATTCGTTGTTTAGTGATGAGCTTTTAGTGTTCTACTAAGTCGTATGAGGTGATTCCACTAGGAAAATATCACATTCACCATCGATGTTCCGACCCAAATAGGACGACGTGTTGGGGAAACGCACTTCGTAAAGCTTAAGGGAACGTGCGACCGAGCTGGTTACCCATAAGAGACCACGCGTCAGTAGCACTGAAGCTTATCAAACTGGGTAAAGATCTCATCTTCCAACTGTGCGCTGATCCACAGGGGATGATGCGTTGGGAGATGACTAAAATCTGTGAAGCTAAGGAAACGTGTGATCAAGGCGGTGACCGACCAGGGACTCCGCGTCAGTAGCGCAGAGTCTTGTAAAGTTAGGTGAAGAGCTCATCTGCCATCGGTACAATGACCCATAGGGGACGACGCGTTGGGAGATGGCTAACGCCTTTCAAAGCTGAGGAGTCGTGCGACTAAGGCGGTGACCTGCAGGGGACTTCGCGTCAGTGGCGTCGAAGCTTTTAAAGCTAAGAGTGCATTCATCTGAGGTG